CCCCTCCTCCTCTTCTTCCTTCCTTTTTTTATTTTCTTTATTTTTATTGCTCTGCGGATCCTCGGGTTAATGTAAGAGTTAACCCGGTGCTTGCCTTTCCCAGCGAGGTGTCTTCCTGTCCCGGAGCGGCGTGGCTCTCCAGCTCTGGACCCTTTCCGTCCCCCTGTTGGGTGCTTACCCACACGGTGTGCGATCATCCCGCCACCCTCTCCGTGCTCTCCACTGCTGCCTATCCCCGGTGTCCAAACCGGGGCATTTGGGTTCAAACCCATCGGCAGCTGTCTCCAAGTTGGCTTATCACGACCTACCTCGATCTCGTGACCGCGGTAACTCCCGACCGCCAAGCTCAGGATCCTCTCCTACACGGTGCTAGGGACCGTATATCCGTCGTTGTTGGGTGGTTTTTTCGAGGGTTAACTGCACTTGCGGGCCTCGGCCTCCCCCGGGGAGGGGAGGAGGGGGGAGGCGGAGAGAGTGCGTGTAGTAGTGCCGGCTACGATTTACGAGAATCGATACAAGAGAAAGTACGGATACAAGAGAGCCAACGTCGCTGGTCACGGCAATGATGCTAGAAAAGATTTGTCATTTATCGTCCCCAAAACAAGACAATTTTAAGTCCGTAGAACGGCGCGTGTTCGAACGGAGAAAACCCCCCGCCAATATCAAGACAAACCATATCCGACCGTTGTTCCTCTAATCTGTTACACCGAAGACTGAGAACATCGATCCGCATGTTGCATGCCCCACGTTTCCTATCATAGATACCATCTTCGTTTACGCCCCCTAGTTGGGTGAGCAAGCACGGGTCGAGAGAAGCAAAGGACACGTGTTAGAGAGACTTTTTGAAATGGGCACGAAATAGGGCTAAGTGAAAATTGGCAGTCATTAATGGGGTGGGAATAATGCTGAATGTTGACACGCAATCATCCTGGGATGGGAAGAGGAGCGCACACGTTTTTTTTTCTATACTCTCCTGTTGGTGGGGCATGCTTCTGTTCGTTGTTTTTTGGGCCAGGAGGCGTGTGCTGCACCACAGTCCCTGGTGCCCAACTGTTGAAACCATTGGTTTTATCGGGGGGGCGCTGCTGGTACACACAGCTATTTGTACCCCATTTTTTTTCCCGAAGTGTTTCGAGAAACGCCACAGATCGAACGGTGCGTTGAGTGAATGCAACTAGGGCACGCGAGGCGAAATAAGGTAGGGGTGAATTGTGCATAGAGAGCAACAAGCAATAATGCGGAGGAGCGGACGGTTCAATCAATGACATTTTTCTCCTCAGTATGTAAGGGTCCTGGTCATCGCCCAGGTGTCTTTTGGTCGGACACCCTTGGCGCATGTGTCGACAGCCATGATTTCCGAAGACGGCACTCCCGGAGAGGAACATTTGAAAGAGTTGGGATATGGTTCTGGATCGTCGCGTATGTTGACAGCCAGGGAAAAACTTCGGAGGATAACCAAGATTAAGATACGAATTCGAACCATTTCAGGAAGACCAATGGGGCGCCGCTTCGATTTTCGACGAGTAGTGGTTGAATCGAAAATAGATTGCCCAAGGATTGGGAATGTCGGGTCATACCAAGAAAAACAACATGGGAGAATTGGTGACCATCGTCGCAGAATACGTATGTCCGCGATACGCCCGGCCGGTCATGGCGGCTTTAAGGTTATCAACGTACGGTGAAACCTGCCGCAAAGCCGTCCGAATTTTTTCGCGATTTCTTCATCGAAGTGGCCGAACACGTGGGTGGGGTTGTGCAATAGCCGTGGTACGTTGGAAGGCGTGCCTTTCACACGTAGTGCTGAGTCCTGATAATGTAGTTACATGTACAGCAGTGGGGTAGAAACGAAAAGAGGAGCTTGAGGGGAACACCCATTTCTATGCGCGCGGTTTCGAGGGCTTGACGTTGTTTGCGAATGACGCTGTATTGACGCCATATATCTCCCTGCGCCCGCATGATGCTGTGTTGACACGATGTATCTCCCTGCGTCCACAGGATGTCGTCCAGACGACTCCTCTTTGCTCCAAAAATGCCTGATATCTCGTGTTCTCAATGCATCGAAAAAACGTAGGATCGACAATTTTGCAATGGGCTTGACGCTTGTTGTTGACAGAAGCTTTGCCATGTCTCTTATAGGTGTCCTCGCTTCTATTGTTCAGACGCACTCTAACGACGTTTTGAACATTGTCCAAGCTTTTAGTGGCCACAACACGTTTATTATCTTGAATTATGTAGAAATGTCTTTTAGTCGAGGCGCGGTGTATTACAAGTAGATTTTTTCGACTCCCGGGGCAAAAAAAATGAGGCTGGTAGGAAGCTGCTCTCGTTACAAACATATTCGCTATTCCTTCACTTCAGGCTCTTGTTCTTTTTTTTTTATCTTGGCCACGAGTATTCTACACGTTGAAGTCGTGGTCTCCGGCAAGAGTCAGAAGACTTCACGCATCGCCTCGATACTTGCCTCTTGTGGTTAACCCTTTCCTAAAGTAACGCCCTCCTCTTCTGCTCTAGGTACTGATACTGGCAATCTGCATGACGCTGAACATGTACGCTATGGTGAACTTGTTCCCGTACGTCGGTACCTTGGTAAAGACTCTCCTGAAGCTCGAAACAACGAATGAAGTTGGTGAGTGGCGACAGTGCGCGGCGATGGGCATGTGGAAAGAAAGCGGACGACAACTTCATGATTGTGTGGCGTCTTGACCCTGTAGCATGGGACGTCTAGCGTCAAAACGCTACACGATTGATGATGACCTAGTTTCCCGTTGCTTCGTCGGTTGATGTGTTTCATGCTTGTGTGGAGCGACTGCCTGCCTGCCTGCCTGATGCACGTGTTGTTGTTGTTGTTGTTGTTGTTGTTGTTGTTGTCTCTGCTCCGTACCTCCTAGGTAGCATCCGAACGGGTTCACCTGACGTAGACGCCTTCCTGTGGTTGCAAGCCACTCTGCCCCCGCTGGGCGAATATTTGGAAGAATCAAAGAGGAACAAGGGATGCAGACAAGTCTACCTAACCGCGCTCTCACCTATAACGCGATGCCTTTGAGCGGATTCAGATAACAAGCACGATATACGGAACATCACCAATACATCAAGACCGAAAACGCCATAATTAATAGGACGAAAACACAAACACAAACATATACGCGCTCAGATCCATCCCGGTACCTAGCCGCCGAGTTATCGGCCAATGCCTGACCCCCACTCTTTGCTGGGTAGCACGAGATCAAGGCATCGGCGATATCTGCCCGCCTCATTCACAAGACACCTTCTCGCACATCCCTATTGCCATGCACGTCGGACGTACCACCCTCGCATACCGTGTGTACATGTTTCCCCGCAGCACCCGGCGCCGCCAACAGCCCCCGCATTATTGTCAACCACCCTCGCATGTATCCCATCCCTCCAACCGTCAACCGGCCGCACCGGTGGTATAGTGGTATCCTCGCAAACCTCTAGTCGCAGAGGTCGTGAGTTCGAATCCCCATGGGGGGGTGTACTCATAGTCGTGCATGCCGTAGTCGTTAGACCTATGACCTCGCATCCCTACAAAGCCGGGACGGAGCAGGCCGGGTTCTTAACCGGACCAGGCTCCCACATCACCAAGTGCGAAGCGCCGTGAGATATTCGGCGAGTCGCATGAAGGGTGCGCTGCATCCTGCTAAGGGTTTTCGGCATCT